CCCCAAAACCCCAAAACCCCAAAACCCCATATTGAAAGAAGTAAGAGAATTTAAAAGATAGATTAATTAACAAAATCAAAATATTCATATCGTAATTTTTTTATTTGAGTTTTATTAGAAACTTTTAATGATTTATAATTAACAATAGGTTAATTAAATATTAAGATTTCAAAGTTCGTAAAGAACAAAGCTAAGAATGCTGATATTAATTTTCAAATTTTTTACAAAGATTTCCATATTCCTAACTTTATCCTAGAGAGTCATATCTTAATGTAATATTTGGTTTATGATTTTTTTAGGTAGTAAAGGTTAAGCTTCAATGATTCTCATGGGAAACTAAGACATTAATTTTAATACCAACGTTTGCTATCGTAAGAAATTTTCTTTTTATACTGAGTTTCAGCTTGTTGAATGATGCTACCTGGTTGTAAATCATGTTCATCAAATGAATAGATAGCATTCTATTCAAAAGACCCATTTAATTCAAACTTCAAAGGTTATACATTAAGTTGTGATGAATGTGATGAAGGTCTTTTCAAATATGAGTTTAATTAGACCTACATTCATTATTCTGATTCTAACTTCAAATATAACACAACAGTAAAAGTATGTGTACCAGATTGCAGTGTTATAAGTCGTTAATTGGTAAACAATCCATATTCAGGAAAGTGTGAATTTCTAGGTTTTCATTGCAAATACGGAGATTTTTTAAATGGTTGTCGGGAATGCAGTTTTTAGAATAGTAAGATTTATCCATATCTAAATTTAAACTTAAAATAGGTATCTATTTTTAGACTAATGCAGGTATCATCTCAATGTTCAATAATACTGCAGTCACTCCCTCATCTTACATATAAGGCAGTGCTTTCTAATTCTGTGCATCATGCTCTGATTAATCATTGTAATCAGTGAATACAGATTAGTCTTTCTTTTAGTAATGTGGTAAGAAATATTTTAAAAATAGATCAAGAGTCATTTAATAACTTTCATTTTTACATTTAGGCTATAATAAACAAGGCGCAATGTGCTAAGCCTCGAATAGTCTTTCTATTCATAATAAATGTTTTAAATGCAAAGATACTTACATTGCCTCAAAAATGGGTATGGGTTATGAATGCGAAGCATGCTGGAGTTACTACAATCTTAACTCCTCTAGTTAAACTTTAGAAGAAGATATCTATTCAAATAGTTATACATGTAATTAATCATTTTTAAAAAAAATGAAATTTAGGTTATTCAGATCAAACTTGCCAAGTAAATTTTTGTCTTAAATGTGTTGACTTGGATATAAATACTTGTAAATAGTATAAGGATTAATGAGATTATAGGCTCGGTTTGCTAGTAAGGATATAGTCTGAGCGGCGGAACTTGTGTTTTAAACTGCCCTATTGGTCAGTTCTCACTTTTAGAATCTGATCTAAATTATTAACTTAAGACTGCAACTTGCTCATAATGTAGCACTAACTGCTTAAGTTGTTTGAGTAGTGAATCAACTTAATGCACAAAGTGTACTGGTGGCTATTATCTTGGAATTGTTAACGTAATTTAACAATCAGGTGAATGTTTAGTTAAGTAAGAATCAACTGAATCAATTACTCTTTATTTAACCTCAACAAGAGATACCTCAGAAGAACTAGTTATTACCACTTCATCAACTAAAACCACTTTCGATAATTTGCCTGAAGCTATCAATAGAGCATACGAAATTGCTGCCCCTTACAAAGGAATGACTATTACCATTTAACTAGCTGATGCTAGCTATGGTATATTCAGAAAAGATCTGAAGAAAGTATTTTACAATGCATTTGCTAAAGACTACGTTGACCCATAATTTACCCTCAAAATTGTGTAAGAATTGATTTTTTTAATTTTTCTTTAAATAGTTCAACTCGTGCAGATAAATCAATTATATATAACAAAGTGGGAGGGTCATTTCAAATACTTGTCCCAGAAGCCCTAGAATTCAATAATATCATAGTTAATGGACTAGACTCAATCTTTCCATGTATTCAGAAATAATAATAAATTTAAAAATATAGTATAAACTTCTGTGGAGATACCATGCTTAGAAAGTCTAGAACCATGTAATACATATGATGAAGAATTTGGTAAAATAAGTTATTCCAACGCAATTGAATTTAATTTTGACTCCTCCTCTTAGTAAGTTTAATCATTATTTATTTCATTAACAGATGCCCATTAAGAATATCTAACGGTCTCTTCGTAATGAGAGCTCACATTAATTCACTATCTTAATCCTCAAAGATTACAATAAGTGTAAATTAAAGTGCTTTATTAATATTTTCAATAGAATTGTGAGTTTAGAAATATAATGTATTAGTTAGGATCACTAATTAAAACTCCATCTAACAAACCCTATCACATTGAGATAACAGGGTAAGCACTATTAAACTTTTTATCGAATATTTAGAACAACTTTTTCATCATTTCAAACTTGTGGAGCTATAATCTCTAATACTTTCTATGATGAAATCGATATTGTTATAAATTCAACAGTGGCCAAATATTATCCGACAATTAATACTTACGCATAGCAGAAAATAATATGGACAAATGAAGCTAGAAATGTATATGACAAGGATTATAATACTTTTGATCCAACTGATAGTGCTTTTAATTCTATAATAATAATGGCTAACAATGACTTTAAATATATGAATACACTGAAAAATAATTATTAAGATATATACCTTACACTGAAGCATACAAGATACGTAGGAACTATCATTTCATTAAATTAATACAAGGGAAGGTTGTATTTGCAAAATAATAAATTTCAGAATTTGAAGGAACGGTTGGTTACCTGCAATTCTAATTGGACTTTACTTTACCCAGAAACAAAGTATGATTATGTTGCGCTAGATACAGAAGATGACAGTGATTAAAATACAAAGTTTCCAAAATACAGATATTTACAGCTTAAAAATTTGGTTTCTTTGACAGATTACAAAGGAAAATTGATAGTAATTAAAGATAATACATTTAGCAACACTTTTCATTCTGGACCTGCAATTAGAATATAAGGTTACTAAGATTAAATAGACTTTTAGATTTTAATCAGAGGTAATACTTTCACAAATATGATTGGGGTAGTAAGAACCTCAGTTATCCATATTGAAAAGCATTAGCTTATGGATACTGATATAAAAGCAGAAAAAGCATTGAAATGTTCTGGTGGAATTGAAATAAGTGAAAATAAATTTAAATCTATAACAGGGTGTGAGATGGTTGACTCGACCTTGATATTGTTGGCTTGCAGGAATCTATATTATGATGTATATCCAAACGTTGACTCTACAAATTATAAAACTTACACCGTCCTTTATGATTAATTTGGAACAAATATGGAATCTTTTCCTACTAATTTATAAAACATTTAAGAAGATCTTAGAATACTTGCACAATAATCAACAGCCTTAAAGACTATATAGTATTATGATGAAGCCACCAAGTAATTAAGTATAGATTACTAAATCAATATATACAAAATAGTATTGAACTTAAATAACTATCAGGAATGCACAAAAGGTGTAACTTATCTTGACAATTAAGGTTAAAACTAATATTGGTACAATGGAAACCTAATAAACTTATTAGGAATAACGGATGTTCTGATTGAATAAGAATATTTTTTGAATATAGGTGATCATACACAAGAAAATTTAGATTTAATAGCAGATTAGGCTGGTATTCGAAGACTTTCAACATCCAAAATTCTGCTAGTATCAAATACCGCTAACAATTACTTTTTCTCTTGATAGCTCAGTTGCTGCTTGATTAATGTGGATCAAATGCTAAATTTTACTCTCAAAAATACAGTTTTTGAAAATATCTGGAGCGTTGATAGATAAACCTCATTTTAAACATCTACTAGATAGGCAATGCTAGTTTACTTTAAAAATTATTATGGCACGCTACTTATTGGAGATCCAAATCAAAAAACATAAAATACCATAAAAAAATTAACTGGAATGTATAATACATACACAGTTTCAACTTTCAGATGGGATCCTTCTGATTATTATGCAAAGTATTAAGAAGAATATTATCTTGGATTTGGTTGTCCTATTTTTTACATTTTAAACAATATCATAACAGATTTATAAATAAAAGGATTGATTTATAGTAATAACTTTGCTTACTTTGATAAAAGTTAAAAAGCAAATTCAATGGCGTCTTTGATCAATCACTCAATGAAATAGAATGATGGGACAATATATAAGGTTTTGTTTGAAAATGTGTTGATTGAAAATAATTATGCTGAAAATGGTGGAAGGTTTTTTGATATTTCAGCTCACTAAATTATTTTCAGAAATGTTATAGTTTAAAATAACGGTGCTTGGTTTAAATTTCTTAGCTAAAATTATCCAACTATAGCATAAAATGGTTAAATAAATTCATACATAAAATTAACGATAAATATTTTTGCCAACAGTAGTGCAGATTGCTTTATTTCAGTTTAAAACTCTAAATTTATCAGTAATAAAGTTAAGGAAGGATATACATTGTTTACATTAGAAACCTATTAATATCAATTCATTAATGGGTTTACAATTTCTCTAACTCCTACAGACTACTCGAAATATGAAAAGGTCACATTTAATAGCTGTACCTTTACACAGAATTATGGAACTACCTCAGTCATAATGTAAAATGATGATACTTAACTAGTTTTCCAAACCTGGTTCAAGCAATGTACATTTACCGAAAATCAGTCTAATAGTAAGTTCTATATCAAGATTAAACATTATTTAGGTGGATTAATAACAACTCAAGCAAAAATAAAATATTTAGGATTTTTTTAGTGTACCTTCACCTTAAATACAGGAAGCTTAGCAAAAATATTATACTTAACCAACCAGCAAATTAACGAAGTGAATCTAACTCAATGTGTAATTCAAGAAAAGAAATAAAATCAATATATAATTCAAAAATATCTCATCGAGGAGAGATCAACTTATTTTCTTGCCACAAACCCATCATTAATAGTTTTATCATCACAGAATAACTTTTACTTTAAGGATGGAACAGTAAGATATGTTAATTTCGTTTAAGAAGCAGCATTTATACTTGCCTAAGAAGCTGAAAATGTTATTATATCAGGCTCCAAGTTTTAACAAAATAGCGGCGCCACAGTGTCTTTGATTTCATTAAAATAGACTAAGATTGAAATAGATAATTGCATTTTTGATTAAAATAACGGTCATGATAATGGTATCATTCTCGGAAATGATTATACATAAATCACGATTAATAATTCTAAATTTTTGTAAAATTTTGCAGATTCTTACAGTATTTTTCAAGTAAGTGCTGGTTCTTCCATCAGCTTATACAATTCAGAAATTTATGATAATTATGTATAATCCTTTGGTTCCATCGGTACAATTATTTAAAGTGATAGCTCGGTAATAGAAAATACTTTGATAAAAAACAATTATATAAGTTCAACAGGCTCATCTAATACTCTCTAAATCATTTCTTCACAAATGATTATAAGAAATTGCAAATTTATTGACAACAAAGCGATAAAAAATTCAGCAGGCATATAGATTGTTTTATCAGATGTTGAGATTTATGATTCCTTATTTTAGAACTCTATGAACTAAGATTTTTCTCAATTTAAAAAAATTAATGGCAATTTTATATATGCTATTTCTGATTCAAACTTAATAATCAATGGCTCTACTTTTGTAAATGGTAGAGGAAAAGATGGAGGAGCTGTTTACTTCTTGGGATATTCAAACTTTACTATTTTAAATAGTAATTTTACAGGGTGTTAAGTTGATAATCAAGGTGGTGCTATTTATGCAGCATCTTATGAATCCCTACTGATAGAAAATACTACTTTTAATGAAAATAATGCTTAAGTTTTTGGAACTTCAATTTATTCATCTAATTCTATAGGTTATCTATAAATAGACTTAAATTCTAAGTTTACTTCTAAAAATTCTTAAAATTACTTGTATTTATCCTCAATCGAAGAGGTAAAGATAGCAATGACATTATTTAAGAGCGAAGCTAATAGTGAACTAATGAAGAGCAACTACTCAGCAGTTTATTTGGATAGTATTAATAAAGTTGAAATTATTAATTCAAAATTTGAGCAAATTTATGCAAATACTTCAGGCGGGTGTCTCTATATTACAGAAAACTAGAATAATAAAGTTGAAGATAGTATAAACCCGCGCTATTATATTTAAGGAACTAATTTTACGAATTGTAATGCATTATAAGGGGGTGCAATTTACTTAAACAATATTCAGGGAGTATAAATTGATTCTTAATCTGTGTTTTAAAATAACTCAGCATATATTTCCTACAAATAAAGCTAAAATGATTATTCATATGGTGTCGGGGGAGCTGTTTATTTCTATTGTTCAGGAGGTGAGTCTTAATGTAGCCTAAATATATATGATACCTAATTCAAAAAAAATAAGGCCCAAATTAAAGGAGGCGCTATTTAATGGAATTACTATGAACCTTCAATGAAAAATGTAAATATATAATTCTAATCGTTATTTTCTAGATTTATTTTAAAGATAACTTTGCTTAAGTATATGGATCTGATATTTCTTCAGTTGCCAAAATCCTAAAGTAATTAACTGCCAAAGAGTATTCATATGCTAAATCAGATTTACAATCAAGCTAATTAAGAATCCTTGAAACATCTGGAGCATCTACAATTGAACTTAAAAAGCAGAAATCTGGTGGAGTAATTGATCCCATATACTTCGCTCTAGTTGATAAATATGGCTCAATAGTACAAACAGATTTAACTAGCAAACTGTATCTAGCTGTAGTACATAATAGCAATTATCAATTTCCATCAACATTTGAGACTTCTACCTCATTTGAAATCTCAAATGGAACTTTCATAATTGACAGCCTTGTATTCGTTGGATAACCAAATTCTGAATAAAGTAAATACTTTAGCTTAATAAAAATTAGAATTCTCATTTTCTACAGACGGTATAGATTACAGTATTCCTGATAACGCAGCCTACTATAACAGTCTTTAAAGTGGAAGTACTACTTCTACTACAGCCTAGAACGTAGAAATAAAGGTTGAGATAAGAAATTGTGAAGCAGGAGAAGCATTTTTGTCTTCTGGGAAATGCTAGGATTGCAGTAATGAGTAATATCTATTGACCAATCCTGAAGCAATTAGTGCTTGTAAGGATTGCTAAACTAGTAAGTATTTCTTTAAATCAACCAAAATGAAGGTGTTTCCTATTGTTATGGAAGAGATTAAATTTATCCCAGAGCTAATTACTGGAGAAGTAGTGTATATAGTGATAATTTCCTCAGGTGCAGAAATGATATTGCTTGCTTGTAACTTTGATTTTTATTTAATTATTTAGAGGCATGAATTATCCTGAAAACAATACTTTAGGAGCCTGTAGATAAGGGTATTAAGGTATAATTTGTGCTGATTGCATGATTGGATACTCAAGAACTGGTACTTATGAGTGTTCTCCTTGCCCAGAATAAGCATCCAATTCCTTCAAGTTATTAGCCCTATTGATGATTATCGTATTTGCTCTTGTATTCTTAATAAGATCAACATTAGCTGGAGCTCTTGAAGAAAAAAACTACATTTCAGTTTTTATTAGAGTATTGATGAATCACTTTTAGCTTTTGATAATCACTGCATCTTTTAATTTTTAATGGCCTGATCAGCTTTATGCTTTTTTTAATTCAGTGAAACCCGTCTCTGAAGCCACTACTTAATTCCTTTCTGTAGATTGTTTCATTGACACTAGGAAATCTAATAATGACACTTCCTCTGTGAGATCATTCTATTCAAAAACAATTATTCTTTCAATAGCTCCTTTCATAGCTGTAATTATTTGTATAGCAGTGTGGAATCTAATTTACTGCATCTAAGATAGAAAAAAGAGATATTAAAAACTTTAAGAGTAAAAAATTAAAAGAGAGTTTATTAAAATTTAATTAAACAGAAATAAAAATAGCGCAACAACTGCAATCTTAGAGGAGTTTAAGAATCCAAAAAATGAAAATAGTCAATAGGAGGAAGAAACTAGTAGATCTAGTAAATAAGACATACCTTTTGTTGGATAGAATGAAACTATAAATGTTCATAATCATGAAGGAATTTACGAAAATGATGGAAATGAAGTGATTAATCTAAAAACATAGGAAGAAAAAGAGAGAAGAAAGGGGAAAATAGTTTCATCTGTGATTATCATACTATTTTTCATCCACCCAACTATCACTACACAAATGTTTAACGCATTCAAGTAAATTAGTGCCATAAAATAACTTATATTATTAGTTGCTAAGATATAGATGGCACTCTGAGGTTATTTGAAGACTTAGAAGTCATTTGCTATCAGGGTAATCATTTTTACATTGCTCTTTTCGTTGCTCTTCCCTCAATAATTATTTGGTGTAACTTAGTGCATTTTTTAAAACTATTAGGTTTTGGGATTCCTTCATATGGATATTTATTAATGTCATCAAGAAGAAATGAATTAAATCTTGTTGAAGTAAAAGAAAGATATGGATTCTTGTATAATGGTTACAAACAGCACTCTTACTACTGGGAAATATTTATCATGTACAGAAAATTGCTAATTATAATCATTCAAGTATTTCTTGCTTAAGTGGGAAAGATAATATAAGTAAGAATTAATTTATTGAATTATTAAAGGCTCTTGTTATCATTGTACTTATTGTGATATTTTTGGCAGGTAACACTTTGAAATAACCGTTTGACAATCATTATTTGAATAATCTCGAGACGTTATCGCTTTTGTCATCAGTTCTGACAATATATTGTGGACTATTTTATATAGTAGGTCATGAAAATCTTTGTAAGCTAATTTCGTAAAACCAATATAGTTGCATTGAATAATAATGGAAAAATTGTTTTATTCTTCCTAATTGTAGTTATAAACGTTGTATTTTTCAGTTATTGGACAGCTAAGTTTATTCAAGAGCTTAGACATTTTATTCACAAAAAATTCCCAAAAATATACTTCATGCTATTCCTATGTTGCAATCCAAAAAAGAAGTAATAAGAAGATGTAGTATCAGAGTATATGAAAAAGAATCAAGTGTTTCTAAAAAATTATGAAAACATTTGCAATTGTAAATATGACCTCATATATTAATCTTTTTCATATTAGATTTGGTTCAAAGGAAAAATTTGTATCTTAATGGAATGATCCCACCAGAAGATCATGAATTATAACGTTTAGTGCTTAAGCTGAGCCAATTCAAAGAAGAAGTAGATAAGAGAGAAAGTATTTATCATCATTAAACCTAGTCAATTGAAAAACTTTTATTGGCAAAAGAAATGGATCACGCTCTATAAAAATTCAAATTAAGACCAAGACATGAGAAAATTGAATCTATCAGCGGAAATCAAGGACACCAAGTTCCTTCGATTGATGACATTGAAAATGGATTTTAAAATGGTATTCATCATTAAAGAGATAGAAGTATTGTTAAAGAAAACTTTTCATTTGATAACTCATCTCGAAAATCTGTTTTTGGCAAGTATAACAAGCCAACGATGATTTCTGAGCATTATAAAAGAAAAATCTCATTAGAAGGACCTGCTTCAAGAACATTTTAAACTCAATAAAATTTGGTCTAAAGAAGCAATGTATTTACCAATCTTAATTTAAGGAAAAATTTGGAAATAAAAGCAGAAAAATTTGACGAAGAACCATAAGCTAATTACAATAACAAAAGGTCTCATCCTGATTTTATGATAGATACTTCAACAAAATTAATCAAAAATTAAAATATGGAAGATATTGTGGATTATCTTTCAACTCCTAGAATGAAAAAAAAGAACAATAAAAGTATAATTGTCTAGTAAGAGAATCTATCTAAATATTAAAGCATTAGAAGTTATACATAACTAAATCGAGAAGTTAATTCTATGAATAACGCTTAAAATTCAAATGACTAAGAGGATTCATCTGCAGAGGAATAATAAATTTAAGAAGAAATTTCAAGATAGCTAGGAATCTAAAAATACAAAGATGATATAACAATGATTGTCTACAATGATAATGAAGATAAGTAGTCCCATTATAAAACAAGCATATATGGAGATTAATCAGTGTCTGAGGAAGATGAGGATTATGAGATTAATTAAATTGGAATATAAAACGAGATTTAAAATTACTAAGAATTAGCACAGAAGAAAATCAAAGAATAGTAATTGGATATTTTATAATCAAAGAATTACAAAGCTAAAACTTCAAATAAATTCAGAAAAATTGATGGTTCTATATCATAAAAGAATGATAATAAATCTCATCGAATGAGATCAAGATCTACAATAAGATAAAAATTGAGATAAAAACCATTAAAAAGGAGTAGAAGTCGTTCCTCGCAACATGACAAAGAAATTAAAGAATATGGAAATTCGATTGATGAAAAGTAATTAAAGATTTAAGCTGATCTATTTGTGAGTGATATTGTTGAGGAAAGTGTCAATAGTGATAGAGATTAATCTCAAAAATATGATACAAAATAAGATAAACATTTGATAATAAATTTTAAGGAATCATACATGATAGAGCATCAGTATGATTGAATTAAATAATAATATATTTTAACCTATTTTTCTTAATTCTTAATCTTCTGATGGAGCTATATTTAATCTTACGGGGTTTTGGGGTTTTGGGG